CCATTCACTCTTATATCTAGTGGTTGTAAGTTATCTGTACATCCTGCTGGTATGAAATAAAATTTGATGTTGAGTTTGTTTGCTAAACTTTCGGTTTCATTCCCTTTGTGTGTTGAGCTTTGATCTAAGATTAAATTAATTTTTGAATTTTGTGGAAACTGTTTTCTGAGGAATCTCAAATATTTTCTGAATAATATTTCATTGTTCCATCCTGAGTTAGAAAAAGTTGTTTTGTGAGGTTGTATATTTTTTGGAAATGGTGTTTTTTTTTTCCATTTTCTGTTTGATCTTTTCCAATTAAAAATAATGGTAATTTTTTAAATTCTGGAACTCCTTGAATTGTACATAATGCAGTTATAGCTTCTTTATCATTGTCTGAACAACTTATATAAATATTATCTGTGTTTGTCTTTGCCCAAGTGCTCGCTCTTTTAGGCAATATAGTCAATTGTGTTTCGTCACAATTCACCCAAATTTCAGTATAGTTTGATTTTTCCTTTTCTTCTTTTATTTTTTGTATGAATTTTTCTATATCATCATTTGAGAAGTTATTTGGTCTTTTTTTGAAATGAGCTTTTCTAGAACTGAAACGATTTCTTTTTTTAAAATCAGAAATAAAATTATGACTGCATTTGAAATCTCTAATACTATAATCTAATGAATAGGCAAGTTTAGCGAAACTTGAGTCATTAAAATGCTTATGCTGATCTACATAGTTTTTTTCTATAAAGTCATCTATATTATTTTCTTGATCATCTGTTAATTTCCGGTCAGATCTTCTTCTCTTTTTATAAGGTCTCCATTCATCATTGTCTTCAATTTTATGCTGCCAATTATATAAAGTTCTAATTGGTATATTATGTTTCCGTGATAATTCTGCTATAAGGTGACAATTGTACAAGTTTCCTGCATTCATCTGTTGTATAATCTCTTCGCACTAATTCTTTTTGAGCTTATAATTTCGATGTGGGTTGCCGAAAGCATTCAACATTAGTTGTGATGTGTTCAACAATAGAGTAGAACTTTATTAAAATAAACCATTCTAATCTATTGTTCTTCTATTGTATTTATTTTAAACACTAATTAATAGTATATCTTCAAAGTTAAACAAAATTTAGGTGATTTTTTATTAATTTGAATTATGTTTTTTAATAAATATTTATTTAAAACACTAAAATCATTTTCTTTAATTTTATCTTCATATTTTTTTATAAGAAATAAAAAAGAATTAGGTTAAGATTCATATTTTTTTTTCGTTAGCTGATTGAATTTTACTTCACTGAAAAAGTTTGCCATTTAGAGGGGGAGACGGGTATTCAAAATATAAAATGAAAGCAGGCCTTTTTTTATATTTATAATAATTATATAAATATTTGCATATTTTAAATTTCAATAATACATCCAAACTCTATTAGAATAAGTAAAAAAATGAGAAAAATGAACATTTTTTTGAAAGATATTAAAAAAAAAAAAAAAAAAAAAAAAATTGTATGTAAAATGATCGTTTAGATAGAAATTCAATAGTTTTATTCTTATAAAAATATTCAAAAAAATGAAGGAAGGAGTGATATTTGAGGAGTTTTATTAATATTTTTAAAATAAATACATAATTTAGTATTAGAAATCATAGTAAATATAAAAATGTCGCCGAAAAATTGATTATGGATCAAAGATGAGCCAATGAATTATGAAATTGGTTGGTTGAAAAAACAATTTTTAAAGAGGATTGCCTTGATTGTTGCAGTTGAAATATAATTTACTTCTTTATTTTAAGATTTTAAAGGTATATTAGTAACCATGCAACAATATGTGTTGCTTTATTAGCTTGCATTATAAAATTCTCACTTACTTTGCTTTACATGGAGTAACAACAAGTGTAAATAATGACTAAAAGAGCCTTTCCTTTTAAAAAATAAAATGGCATCTTCTTCTAATCGTTTTCATATAAATTCAATGTTTTTTATTATAAGAATTGAAAGAAATTGAGTCTTCAGAAACATAACCACCACTTTTTAAGGGGGAATTTCAAAGAGCCTTCAAATATTCTAAATTTCATGATTGTCCATCTCAAAATTACATTTTTCTTAAAATAAGGATATAAATAAAATATATATAATAACCCTGTTCAAATGGGATAAACCGCTGGGATAACCGAAATCCTGGGATAAAAAAAAAATCCCTTGGGATAAAAAAGTGTTTTAAATATTATTTTATAAAATTTTTTATGTATTTTATAAAATTTTTTCTAGAAATTTTTGTTTGATAAATAATCGTCCTATGTTTTATATTTTATATCACATTTCCCAAATAATATAACGTATTCGTATTCAATCTGGGATAAAAGTGGGATAACCGATCCCTGTGGGATATTTTGAATGGTTTATGAATCCCAAAGGGATTTTTTTGATTAGTTTACAAATCCCAGTGGGATTTTCGAAACTTTTTGAATTGTTTTGATAAACTCTGTTTGGGATATTTTTGAAAGAATTGTGAAGATTGAAAGGGATTGTTTTTTGAATAATTCATATTTAGAATCATTATAACATCAAATTATTTAATTTTCAAAACATCTAACATTATGATTTTTTCTATTTAAAACATTATATAATTCATTTTTTTAAAAAATATAATCAGAATTAACAAATAGTTTTTAATATATTTAAATTTTTTGTAAAAAAACGATTATCTATTTTACTTTTCATAGGTTTACACTATTCAAAAACATAAAAAAAAAATATTGAAAAAAACAGACGAAGGAATAAGAATTAATGCAATCTAACACTATTTTATAAAACTAGACAAATGCGTAAAAGAATAAAAAAAAAAAAATCGAGCATGGAATTGATAGTGTATATTATATTGGATCATCGAATTTCAAAATTCTCGAACAACAAGCAAGAATCGCTCGAAACATCATCAAAGGGATTGATTTTGTAAACAAAGCATCATTGGATGAAGGATAGAAAAGCTTTTATGGGTAATATTTGATTTCTCTTATTTTTTCTAATGGATAGACAAAGAGTTTTTCAGAATTTAACCGTTTTTTATATATACAATTGAGAACTTATTTGGTCAATATTTGATAACAATATACGATCAAAAAAGGTCAAATAATTGCTTTTTTTTTTTTTTTTTTTTTTTTTAGAAATCCCAAATTCCAAGAAAATGCTCATCCCAAAAATCAAAAAAATCCCATTTGAACAGGGTTATATATAAATTATTATTACTTGGTTATATTTATATAATTTAAATATTATATAGATATCATAAATTTTATTTTAATGATTTATCTCTTTTTGTATAACTATTAATTCCAAATTTGATAAAATAGTAATTCTTCAAATACTGTTTTAAAAATATTGAGTAAACTATCCCTTTAAGCCATATGTAATAATTATTTATGCAATACGATTAATATCATTAATTGTTTTTTCTTGAAATTGAACAAATTCATTGACGTTGAATTATATAACACCTAAAAAGTAAAAAATTGACATATATTTCAATCCAAGAAATACAAATTCTCTATTTAGAAATTATCAAAGAGGTTTTCAGCCATTTATGAATTCAATAACAATGCAATTCTAATCATTTCGATTTCACTATGCAGCAAGTTTTTATTTATTTAAAAAATACTACTTAATCAATACTTTCAATATAAACCTTGAAAGATATATAAAATTTTTGTTAATCGAAAAAATTATTTTTCTAATGTAAATATTTTTTATTTTTTTATGAGCAAAATTAAATCATATGAGTTAATGAATAAGTAACAACATTTTTCAGAATGTCATAAAGGATTGTATTCTTTATTGGAATAAAAACAAGATAAATTGAATTATTGGGAGATAATATCAAATTTTTAATAGAAAAAATTAAATGAGTATTAACAAAATCAGATTTTATTAATCAATTTTTTTCTGAAAAAATCTTCGAAATAATTATAGAAATCATTTCAATACATTCAATTTTTTGAAAAAAACATTCAATTGTCTTTATATTTTTGAAGGATTATTTTATTTATTTTAAGAAAAATGATAACGTTGAGCGCTTCATATTTTTTATTACAATGAAGAAAGTTAGTCCAGCATTTATGTGGGCTCTTGAAAGAACCAAGAATTATGAAGGAATTAAAAATTTTGAACCTTATGATATGGCAATATGCGCGTTATTAGATGCTTATCATCCAGAATTAATTAATTTTAAGTCTTTGGATCCAAAAGAACACAAGAAAAACCTTGAATTATCAGTTAAGGTAATGGAACAACTCGGAATATTAGTTTACTTTTATCCAGATGAGTTAATTGATTACGAACATATCGATAAGAAAATCCTTCTAACTCAACTTTCAGCAGTTAAATTGATTTTAGCTCCACCTTTGAAGAGAAAGGATACAAACCACGATCAATTTAAGAATCCTTGCAACAATTCAACTAGCTTCCTTTTACATTCTACCAAGACAACTGATTTATAATCTAATGATAGAATATAATAGAATTTTAGATTTATAGATAAATAGTTTTTTTATTTTTTATTCTAAATTTGAATGATCATATTGAATTTTTTCTGTTATTCAAATAAAAACATTTCAACATAAATATCTTTAAAAAAAATCAAATACGGTACAAAAAAATTATTAATATTTCCCCAAAAATAAGATTACTCCTATTATAATATTAAAAATATATAAAAATCAAAAGATAAAACACATAATTTATTAGAAATTGTTAATAAGATAATGTATTCCTTATAGATTTTATCATGATATGCATAAAAATCAAAAATTTTATAGAATGACCAGGAAAAAAAAAAAAAAAAAAAAAAAAGAATATTTCTTATATGAAATAAGAATATTTGGTATCAGAATCAGTTTCTCAGTTTCACCGCTTTTTGCCTTTTGATATTTATATTGTTTTTTTTGTTTTCATGAATAAAATTACTCAAATAACAACAACAAATATTAATAATAATAATAATAATAATAATAATAACAATAACAAGAGGCAATAGTATAATGGCAAGTATACAAGGCTGTCCCCTTTGAGATCTGGGTTCGATCCCCAGTTGCCCCGATTTTTGATTTTTTATTTTTGCTCATTGTTTTTTTTTTTTTTTTTATTGAAATTACTCAAATAAAAACAACAAACATTAATAATAACATCTAATTTGAAGTATGGCAAATACTTTATTTTTCACATCAAGTTTCTCCTAAAATATGACATTGAACGAAAGAAAGAAAAATAAGAAATAAAACCAAAAAAATGGATGATAAGGGATTCGAACCCTTGGCCTCTATCACGCAAGGATAGCAACACTACCGCTGTGCTAATCACCCCTTGATGTTTATAAAAATAAACATATAAATAGTATTTTTAAATTCACAATCTATATCACTATTCAATGATCTAAAAAATAATTGAATAACAGAATATTATTTCACTTGAATTTCATAAAAAAGGAAAAAAGCCACATATCATTAAAATTATGGTTAATTAAAAAAAGGAGAAACTGCAAAAATAAAAAAAAAAAAATATATTGATTTCATCATAAATTGAATATTTATTCTTATTTAAATAAGAAAATCTTTAGAACAAGAGGCAATGAAACCTGACAAGAAAATAATTATCAGTATTTTGTATTCTCATGTTTAAGTATTCACAAATTATTTCAATATTCTCAATATGATTTTGAAAATTGAATTTGTATTGTTTCATTTAATGCAATAAGCCCTATTTTTTATTAAATATAAATTTATAAAAATTGGGTTCAACAAATAGCATATCAAATTCTTGTTTTGTCTGTATAGAATTTTCAATAACTTTGTTTAGTTCATAATTCAAAATTTAAGTATTTATTCTTTTGATATTTGATAGATGAGTGTTCAGCAATTTTTATATGAAATGCAAAAGATTCAAGGAATTCTTCTTGAATTTCTTAATGAAAAGGAATTTGCTGAAGAAAATTCCCAAAATCTAAATAAGTTATTTGATGATCTGAAAATTTGTGATGATCAATACAAACTCAAGTCACTTCTACATTTACTTACTAAAATTGCAAATAATCATTATCGTTGTTCTAATTTTTTCAGTAATATTTTTCAAATTTTGCTTTTATTCAAAAAAGACATAAAAAAGCATTTTTCAAATTGGGACATTTTCAATATTTTTAAAAGCAACAAAAGAATCCTTTTATTTTTGGTTGAAGAAGAATTGATGATTATGGATGATCGTGTAGCTAAAGAAATTGTGACATCATATAAGTGCAAGAAGTCCAAATATCCACAGTATTTTGCACCAGAAATCAAACCTTACATAAATGAGAATTGGTTTCAAGAAGATAAAGAGTTAATTGAAGAAATTAATAAAGAAATTCCTGAAAATTTTTATGAATTGAGAAAAATTGGTGAGAATGAAACCACAATCTGTACTTTAATTCAAAAAGACATGATCAAAGACTTTGTTGTTCATATTAATCGAAACAACCTCCCTCTTGACATGAAAATTGAATCATCAATTTATGAAACCAACTGTTTATTGGTTAAAAAAAATAACATTTCATTAATTGAATATGCAGCATTTTTTGGATCAATTCAAATTTTCAAATACTTGAAAATTGAAGGAGTTGAATTAACATCATTTTTGTGGCCTTTTGCAATTCATGGAAAAAATGCTGAAATAATTCATTTGCTTGAAGATAATGACAAACCTTCAAGTTATCAATGCAAGCAATTTCTAATGAAATCAATTAAATATCACCATAATGATGTTGCTAAGTTTTTTCTCGACAGTTATTTACAGAACGAAGAAGATGACTCACAAGTTGCTTTATTTAAAAGTCTGAAATATTACAATTTTGCATTTATTCAAAATAGCCTTCTTAATGAATCATCATTTGTCGTTTTATGCAGAGATGATTATTACCCAATTGCTGATATCCTTTTAAAGCATAAAAATATTGATATGAATAAGAAGCTCTTTATTTTGAAATTACTTTTTTTAATCGAATTGACTAAAAAATTTTTTATTATGCAGCATTACATTTTGCAGCTCAAAATAATAACATTGAAATTGTTAAACTTTTATTAACAATAAAAAATATTGATGTTAACATTAAATCTGTTTTACAAACTAATTTATATTTTTAAATAATGTTTTCAAATTTTTAATGTTTGAATGATATTCAAATGACTAAATATTTTAATGGCATTATTTCGTAATCTTATTTCACGCCATTGCATTTAGCCTCTCAAAATAATAATATTGAAATAGTTAAACTCTTATTATCAATGAAAAGTATTGATGTTAATATTGAAACTATTTTCAAAACATGTTTTAATAATATTTCAAATAAGATGTTTTTAATCACATTTAAAATATAATGTTTTAATTACATTACAAGTCTAATATTTATATAGAATTTTACTAGTTAATTGAATTATACAGCATTACATTTAGCAGTGCATAGAAATAATACAGAAGTCGTCAAACTTTTACTAGCCACACCAAATATTGATGTTAACAAACAAACAATTATATTTTATATTTCAATTTAGTATCACTTCGTTTAATTTAATATGATTACAAGTAAAGAGTTTAAATAACATTGCATAATATCTATATATTAATGAAATTGCAAGCAAACTTTTTTTAATAAAATTAGCAAATCAATATTTTTGATTTCATTTCAATTTATATGTTTTGATTTCATTATAAATATAATGTTTAAATTACATTATAAATTTAGCTTTTTAACTTCATTTCAATTTGTTTTGAATAGAATTACCAGTCAATAATTTTAGATGGTATTACAATAAGCTTTTATTTTACTCCATTGCATTTTGCTGTTATTAACAATAATATTGAAATTGTAAAACTTTTATTAGAAAATGAAAAAATTAATCTTCTTCTCAAAGATGCAGTTCAACCATTTTCTTTTTATCAAATTTGTTTGCATTATTTAATGATTTTATCATTTTAGCTTATGGAAAAGGTCAATTGATTGGACAGAAAATAGACAAATAAAATCATTGCTTTTAAAAAATAGCAAATAGCAACAAATCTATAAATTATCATGACTTGAGCTAGTTCAAGTATAGATGATTTAATTATTTCAAATTTATTATATAAAATGTATATAACTTACGTAAAATTAAAGAAAATATGCATGAATATTAATTTGATTTTTTTTGATCAAGTTGTTCAAACGAAAATTGTTTTTTGGTGGTATTTGTTGCTTTATTATACTATAATAGTGAAATTTAAGGATTTATAGTCCACTCTCAAATTGACATGCTTGTATGCTTACCATTATACTATTGCTTCACGTTAATATTATTAATATTGGTTGTTTTTATTTGAGTAATTTTATTCAAGAAAACAAAAACAATGAGCAAAAATCAAAAATCGGGGCAACTGGGAATCGAACCCAGATCTCAAAGGGGACAGCCTTGTATACTTACCATTATACTATTGCCTCTTGTTATTGTTATTATTATTATTAATGTTTGTTGTTTTTATTTGAGTAAAAAATTAATCTTTTTATGTTAAAAAAATTTTACCGATTCATACCGCCAGTCGCTTGGCGGTATGTAGTCTCTGTAAAAATTATATAAAAATATAAAAAAGATTTGTTTCTTCAATTATTTTATTTGGATTTATTTTATTTTTCTGAATGATTTCCACTTTTTGAATGTTCTTCAGAAAAGACTAACTATATTAAAGTAAACAACTACAATTTTTAGCCAAAAAAAAATTATTTTTCTTTAACAATCAAATCTAAACAAAATGATCTTTCAATAAATTGACTGTAGAATTCAATGATCTTTCAATTAACGATCTCCAGTTTTTCCCTTGTTCCAAGCAAAACTTTTTGATTTGTTGGGAAATCGAAGGGAGTTTTAGAATTATTATAATAAAAAATTTGAATAAAAATTAGATTTTGTTTTCCACCTTTATCAGAAGTACTTTGTGACGGTTATGGACACTCCACTTGATTTTTATCATTCAATGTTCTATGATGAAAATGTACCACTTGAATTAAACCGTTTTATGCCAAACCACAGAAAAATTGTATATTACGGTTTTAGCGGCACCATTGAAGACTTAGAGAAAACAATAATTCAAAGTGAACACGGTACGCAAGCGTGTGGAACAGTATCAGGCAAGAACGTGTGTAAAAATGACAAATTTGGCATTTCAAATTTCAATGGAAACGCTCCAGAGTCAAAAATTTTGTTTGCTGGGTCCTACGATGATGTTGATCCTGACTCATTAGGTGAATTGATGAACAAACACGGTTCATATATATAGTCGAACAGTTGGGGATCAACTGGCTATGACTCATTTGAGAATTACATGTACGGAACCGTTGCCTACGAAAGTCCAAAAAATGTCTTCATATATGCTGCTGGCAATGAATATGAATTGTTGAATGGAAACTTTAGTGTTTGTGATCCTGGTGGTTCGAAAAATGTTTTGACAGTCGGTGACATTGATGATTTTTACGCCGATGAACAACGAACCTTTTTGATGAGAAGTTTAAATCGTCCTGATTTTACTATTACCTTTAATGACACAGTAATGAGTAGTTTTGATATTTATTTTCAAGGCAATTTTGAAACACAAAAGATAGGAATTATTGACATGTCAAAAGGAGAACAATGTGAAGCAATAAAAGAAAATCAAATTACGTTGCTGTATGGTGACTATTCCAATTGGATTTTTAATTGTATTTTCCGTCGTGGTACTCAATGCTTATATACGACAGAAAAAGAAAAGCTTAAAGAACTTTATGAGAACATAAAAGGTACAATTTATTTCCAAAGAATATTCGACATTGATGAAAATAAAAAGAAAATTAAACGTGCTTCTTACTCATCAACTGGACCTGCAAACATGGGAATTTTAAGGCCTGATGTAATGGCTCCCGGCACAAAAATTATCAGTGCCAAATCTAATAAAAATAGCAACTATTCTCATGGATGTCTTGATGAATTATCTAATGATTATATTTTAATGGATGGTACATCAATGGCAACACCAAATATTGCTGGCGCGATGGCTCTTGTTCATCA